GGCATTCCAGCGCTACTGTCATCTTCCAGCCTGTGCTGCAGCCTCGGCAGTGGTTAATCTCTGGGCACTGCAGCCTTGCTGCGCGAGAGAGTGCTGGAGGGGGAGTACGGCTAAAGATACCGTGAGTCATGCTCATCCCTGTGGAAATCAGCACAATCAAGTCAGGGACAGACTAAGCCTTGTGAAAGAAATGCAGAAGTACTCAATGCAAAGCCAAATCCCTGCTCCCCACACCCTCCCATACCTGCTGGCTGGCGGGATCTTGCCTCTTTCAGGTAGTAGAGGGCCTTGTTGAAGTCACCCAGGTGGTAAAACGCCACTCCCGATCGATAGAGCGCCTTGAAGTTCTCCCCTTCTTTCTGAAGCACCTTGAGGCAGTACTCCTTCACTCGCTCGTAATTCACCAGCTCGGCCTGGAGCAGGCAGGCTGCAGGGGACGGGGGGAGACAGACAGACAGACAGACAGGAGAACGTCAGTGCCGTATTTTAACCTGCTCCTGCGCTCTGCACTGGGGGGAAGAGAGCAGCTTAGGTGAGGGAAATGACTCAGACCCGTGAATCGGATCTGTGCAGTCATACGGAAGGTTTGCCAAACCTGATTGTTCACAATTTAAATACCAGAGCTTCTATTTTTGGCGTTGCAAAGCTAAGGGATTGTGTTTGCTCCGGAGGGGCTGGGGGGAGAAAGCGAGAACGTAAACATCCCTCCGCAGAGCGGGAACGCCGTACCGTCTCATGGCAGTGACTGGTTTAGGTTGGAGCAAAATCGCTTCCCAGGCTGAGGGCTGGAGCTCAGGAAAGTGCAAAAATGCAGTCAGACAGTTATCTGACAAAGAAAAAAGGCACTAAATCGGATCAAATTTTGTATCAGGCTTAATCTAAGGCTGTTAAATTTACAAATAATACGTAATTGCCTTTTATCCAGGAAGTCCTGGATGGAGTTTTGCTACAGGAAACAAGGGGCTCTGCTCTGCTGGAATTTGCTGCTAGCAAACCAGAGACACCCGGAGTTGTGGGACAGGGAACAAAGGTGCTAGGCTGTGTGCTTTCTGCAAAGTATTGCAACCCAGGTCATCCCGAGAGGTCAGTTCTGCTGAATTCCTAAAGGAAAAGGTAAACACGGTGAAGAAACAGCACGCTGAGGACATTGTGTGTGGAAGGAAAATTGTTGCATAAATGTCACGGAGCTGATGAAAATCCCCATAGTGAGTTTCCCACAACTAGGGATGAAATAAGGAGGAAAGGGGGAGATGGCGTGCTTTACAGCCCTGTTCATGGCTTACTCTGGTGGGCTGAATGTCATTAGGCATATTGGGCAGGAAGAGTGGTTTGAGGAAGACTGACAAGAATGGGACATGGTGCAGTCACAGTCTTTGGGGAGATGAGGGAAGTTGTGCTGTCCACAAGCCCAGCTGGTGCTGCAAACAAGGCAAGGTTGGGAATGACCTGATTTGGGGAAGGAAGGCAGGATGCTGCTACAAGGATCAGTTCAGAGGCTGGCAGTGTCAAGTGCCAGGGCATGGAGAGAAATTTCCCATGGCAGGTGGTGTTACTCAGTGTGTCTCTGGCAAGGAGAAGACTCACTGCTCCTGGAAATGCACGTTGTCACAGTTCAGGTGTCACCAATGAACAGCCAGATTTCATTTTTTGCATGATAACTGCAGCCTGCAGCTGAGGGGATATGGTGCTGGGTCAGGAATACGATACAGTTCTTGATCCCCTTCCCCTGCACCCCTAAATTAAGCCCTGCACCCTCTCCATATCTCACTTTACATTTAATGAGCAGGAGGTTGGCCAAATGACCCCCAGAGATTCCTTCCAACCTAAATTAGCCCAAGTCTGTGATCAGTTAACAGAGGGAGAATACATTCCTAATTCAAGCACATGTTTAAAGCTTAAATAGCTAACTGGGAACAATCATAAACAGGCTTTTACCAGTAGAGGTCTGATGGTACAGATATGTTGGGCAAGGACTGCAGAACTAGCCCCATTGCTGCTACGTTTGGTTGAGTGACACAGTAATTACTAATGAGAGCTTTGTCCCATTTGCTTTAATGATGGACTCAATATATTTTAACAGCTCCTGCCATTAAAGTGCATAGGTATTTCAAAGACATCTGGTTGCTCGCTATTTGATTGCCAGTTAAAAAACACGTATGTTTCTAAAAGCTTAGCAGCATTTCCTTATCCAAAACTTGTCCCTTCCTATTTGTCAAACATTGATTTTTCTCACTGTTTCTAATGGAACTTGAAATGACTGTGCCTTGTTTTCCTTTATTTTTCAAAGCTATTAAAAAGATGGCTGTGTAAATTTACTGCTGGCTTCACAGCCCTAGAGATGCGATTGCGTTGTTTATCTGCTGGCCAGTAGCACGTACAGCAGTGGCAGGAGCTTTCTGAACACTGCCAATCTGATCCAGCCTTTCATGTTCTGTGAAACTGCCTTTCAGAGAAATGGGGGGTGGGGGTGGATTTCAGTCTCTCTGTCCATTTACTACTTGGTATTTCCAGTTACAGTCACAGAAATGACTGTGTGAAAAATGACAGGCAGTCTATTCATGTATATTAACTCAGTAATTCCATATTGGACTTGCTTCACGGATTGGTTTAGAAGAAAAGTGTCCCACATCCTGCTAATTCATAAACCCAAATGGGTTTCCAGATACCCAGCTGGGTTCTTTCTGTGACTCACACTCACAGTGAAGATTCTGCAGGGCATCCCCACTAACTGTGCATGCGGCTCCGAGGAGTCAGTACCACATGGCTAGCAGGAGAGACGTGTGTTTATCCGAACAAAGCGAGCAGATGGATTTGGAGGAAACAGTTCTGCTGGAAGAGCTGGCCATTTGGAGAGCCAGCGTTGGAAGCAGCTGTTGGAAATGAACCTGGAGGGAGTATCTCCCTTATTAATATTTAGAGGTGCGTGCTTTCAGTTCTTGGTGGACTGAAATGATCTCAACGGACTGTGATTCAGTGCAAATATTGAGGCTGTTAGTAATTCAGCTTGCAGAATGGAAAAGTCATGGAATCCTTGTACTTCCTACCTAATTCAGTCAGGGGAGAATTGTTTTGAAAACATGTTGCTTTCCTAAACAGACATGTGCATCTCTGGCTGGGAGTGTTTGTTTACCACATCAAACACCTCATCGCTCTTCTTTTCGGTTCATAATAGGCCCCCAGGGAATCCTTCTGAGGAACAGGGCTCATTCAGAGACCACATCTTATCCAGTTCCTCCTCCTGCTTTCTTGAAACCGAATGGGCTTGATCCTGCAGGGCACTACCTCCAGCGGTTCTTTGGTGATTCGAAGGGTGCCCTCTTGCAGATGCAAACCTATTAGTCGCCCATTCCCCGCAGGTCTCATTGTCATTGTGATACAGCATCTGATGGCTGCATCTCTCCAGCTCAGATTGTAGGGTGTCCTGCTTCCCCGCAGCGTGTGACGGCTGTCCATCAGACCTGGTTATCATTCTCAATTTGGCAGCTGATTTATTGTGTCAGCTTAAGGAGTAAGTCAGTCCTAATTTTTAAAGCCACATATGTCACATGGTGATGAAGAGTCCCTATCTGCTGTAAAATAGGCTGTTTTGAAACTACTGGGTGAAATGTGCGATGAGGAGGGGGAGAAGGTTAATGCTATTAGCTCCAGTGGAGGGGCCCTGTCCATCACACTTCCCAACTGACTTGGTGTTTAAGCAAGGAAATAGGAAATTTCCTTGACATAGGCTTGACAGGTGCCTGCGAGAAAAGATCCATGACAACCCTCTTCTCTCAAAGGTTAATTACTTCCATTGTTTAAGAAACACAACTACACTTCTTTACTGTTTGTTGTTGTTGTTGTTCAGCTGTAACTACTAGCCACTGGTGCAATTACAAGCCGCACCTTTGCTACCCTGAAAAGCTACCCTGGTTTTGCTTGTTGCATTGGTACTTGGAGACTCTGATCAAGTCACTTCATCTTCTTTCTGATTGCCTGCATAAAGAAATGCCTGGGGTCTCTCACTAGTAGCCACCTATTTTTCAGCTTTCCTCACTGTTATAGCTATCTAGAAGCCCTCAAAATGAAGTTCAACTAAAAGTGCTGTCAGTTAGCACCTTACCAGAGAAACCTCTTCTGTGTGAATACCTCTGCAGGTCATGCCAACAGCTCAGTTTGGCCTGAACCTTTGGCTTCTAATTTTGGCTAAGAAATAAGTCTGGAAGTAGGATGTACGGGTTTCAACCTGGAAATTTTGAACAACAGTATTAAGAGCCTTGCCCACCTGGCAATTTTCACCAAAGGTAAATCTGCATTCCAGAACAATCCTCCAGACACAGCTTATATCAGTGGCTAAATTCCCGCTGTAGGCAAGGCTCAAGGCCTATCCATGTTCCAGAACACTTCAGAGAGTGAGCCAAAGTACTGTGCAAACAGCGTTAGCATATCCCTACCCCGTGGCATGTTCCTTGGGTTCAGCACGTTGTGTTAGTCATAACAGGAATTCCATTCACTGCTGTTCTGGGAGATGAAAATGTTCTTGCCCTACAGAAACATCTTGGGTTGCAAGTTCGTATTTCATGAACTCCTGTCTTGCTTGGAGCTCGCTATCACACAGGTAAGCTGGTAGCGCTGCCTATTTTTAAGGTTGCCTTGTGCCTTCCACTGTAGGAGAGAGTCAGCTGCTTGTAACTTTGTTGGTTTTCAAGTTTTTGGTCTAAAATATTCCATGTGCATTCCAGGTCTGCTTTTGGAAAATGTCAGCCAAGACTGTTCAGGTATTTTTGAAAATCAAGCAAGGGAAACATATCTTATTTTACCCTTGTTAAAGATCTCTGGTGACTGTCTCTTTGGATTTGTCTCATGTCCTTTCATCGTTTGGCTTTGCAAACTGAAATCTGGCAGATATCATTTGTGTCAAGCAGGTGCCTTCTGTTATCCCCAGGGTAATCTATAGCTGGCCAACCGATAACCTTCTGAAAATAAAACCACTACAGTACTCCATATAGTGCTCAGTAGAGATGCCTTAGAATTTGGTATCCAAATCAACTGAGTATTTGATCCACCCTGGGCACAACCTGTTCTAGGAAAATGTGGGGATTTGTAAACTTAGAGAGCAAGAAAATTATCTCATTGGTTCACTGATGACAGGAAGAAAGAAGAGCAGAAAGTGGAAACCAAGCTGAGAGGGGTTGTCTTACTTATGACGGAAAGACGGGGAGGCAGATGCTTGAGAGGGGAGGAGACCGGGGCCGAGAGCCGTGTGGGGACGGAGGCACAGAACTGTTGGGGTGACAAAAGGGGTGTACAAGTGGGGAGTTGAGGTTTATGGAGGAGGCAAAATGTGTGGGGAGAAGTGGAGTTAAGAGTCTAGGACAAGGTGCTCAAGACAGAGACACAGGACAGCTAGCCCGAGGACCAAGAGGAGCACTGATAGCTGTGAAATCCAAG